CAGGATGCCATTGGCCTTCTTGGCCACCTGGGCACACTGCTGGCTCATGTTCAGGCAGCTGTCAGCCAACACCCCCAGGTCCTTTTCTGCCAGGCAGCTCTCCAGCCACTCCTCCCCCAGCCTGTAGCATTGCATGGGGTTGTTGTGACCCAAGTGCAGGACCCGGGACTTAGCCTTGTTGAATCTCATACGATTGGCCCCGGCCCAATGATCCAGCCTGTCCAGGTCCCTCCGTAGGGCCTTCCTACCCTCCAGCAGATCAACACTTCCACCCAGCTTGGTGTCATCTGCAAACGTACTGAGGGTGCACTCAATCCCCTCATCCAGATCATCAATGAAGATATTGAACAGGACCAGCCCCAACACTGAGCCCTGGGGAACATCACTCACGAGCGGCCGCCAGCTGGATTTGACTCCATTCACCACCACTTTCTGGGCTCGGCCATCCAGCCAGTTTTTAACTCAGCGCAGAGTGCAATAGAAGCAGGTGGTAGCTCAAGTTCTCCTTCTCTCCAGACTGCAGGAATTCATCACGTTGTCCTTCCCAGTGTGTGAGGCTGTGATATGGTAGACAGGGCAAAGAAGTAATTCGTTCAGATAGTTTATAGTATCCTTCCCATTGTTTTTATTCCATGTGTCACCCTATAAGGATAACTGCGGTGGAAATGCCCCTTTCTGTTCCTCACTCTGCTGCCAATACCTTTACTTCTGCAGGAAGATATAACTTACCTGTTCTGGCATCCGTGGGTGGAAATACTGCTTTCTTCACCCTCCTCCCCCTCCTTGGCTCAAGACAGAATTTTAATGGAGTATATTTTTCCATGGATAATCCAGGGTACTGATAATCCACGAGTACTCAGGAAAAATTGTCTTGCTTGTTTATAGCTGTACAGCTCTCTTTGTTGTTTAACTCAGGCAAATCTTATGCAAATTTTAATCTTTGCTGAATATATAACATCACACCCCCAAATGTCTCCAAGAGGAGTAGCAGAGTTAAAAATATAAACTCTGTAGGACAAGTTTATTGAAAATATTCTGCATGAAAATGCACGGTATTCTTATCAAACACAGTCGTTAGAATGAAATAGACAGTTTTACCACTCTGTTGTTGAGGTCTGAGGAGAACATATCAGCATGGACCTGACACAGTTTTGCTTTCCTTGACCTGATTACATTATAGTTTCCTTTCTATTGACAAATTTCGTTACCAAATTGGGGTAATATTAGCATACTTTATCTTGCTGGCTGTGATCCAATACTTTTGTTTTGAGGGGAATTAAATTTAGAGAAATTTAGTGGAATCTATTTTTCTTTCCTTATGAGCTATTTCTAGCAGCCTGATAAGTTTTTGTGATCAGTGACTAAGTGTCTCTTGCTGTTATGATGACAATCATCTGCTTGCTTACATTGCCATGTCGTCCCAACAGCAATTAAGGGACGTTAGATAGAAGCGATAAAACCTTGCCTTAAGAATATTGGCCAGTTAACCAAAATATGAACTGCAATCAGGGATGAAGGAATGAAAAAGGGTAAAGGGGAAAAGTTAGCTATGTTCTTTAGACCTATGGCCCAATCTTAAATTTATAAGCTATCTGTCCTTTTTAATGGAGAAAATAAAGTACAAGTTATTTACATCTCAGATCCGGTATTTTAGGAGCCTCTGTGGGTGAGGCTTGAAAAGAGGTGCCATTCAGACCATCTATAAGAGAATGCATAAATGTACATCTATAGATATCTGTATCACTACAGATGATAGATGAAAAGTCAGCAAAGGATTGGAGCTAAACAGACATGAAGATTTTTTAGGCAGGGGGGAAACTTGTGTGCACTTGACTCGCTATTACAGAAACATAATTTGCTTACTCTTGATATCCAACTGTACTCATAAGGGTTAAAGATAATACTGAGTTAATAATTATCACTTCTCCATCTACAAAGTAAACTTTATGTAGAATGCAGCAATATATTTGCTCATAGAAAGAGCTACCTCAGATATCTTATACTGGGTACTATTGAAAGACATTTAAAGAGTAATGCAATCATCAGGCACAGTCAGCATGGGTTCACAAAAGGAAAGTCCTGTTTAACTAATTTGATATCCTTCTATGATAAGGTCACCCGCCTAGTAGATGAAGGGAAGGTGGTGGATATAGTTTTTCTGGATTTTAGTAAGGCTTTTGATACTGTGCCTCACAGCATTCTTCTGGACAAGTTGTCCAGCTGTGGGATGAGTGGGTTCACAGTGCTCTGGGTGAAGAACTGGCTGAAGGGCAGAGCTCGAAAGGTTGTGGTGAATGGGGCTACACCTGGCTGGCGACCAGTCACCAATGGTGTTTCTCAGCGTTCAGCTCTAGGACCAGTCCTGTTAAATACATTTATCAATGATCTGGAGATAGGAGTTGAATGCACAATTAGCAAGTTTGCTGATGATACCAAACTGGGAGGTGCTGTTGACTCTCTTGAGGGACAGGAGGCCTTGTAGAGGGGTCTAGATAGATTGGAGCATTGGGCTATGATTAATGGGATGAAATTTAACAAGTCAAAACGCCAGATTCTGTACCTAGGAGAGAGTAATGCCAGGCACAAGTATAAACTGGGAGAGGAGTGGCTGGAGAGCAACACTGCAGAAAGGGATCTGGGGGTGCTGGTTGACAGCAGGCTCAATATGAGGCAGCAGTGTGCCCTGGCAGCCAAGAGGGCAAACAGCATCCTGGGGTACATCAAACACAGCATAACCAGCTGGTCAAAAGAGGTGATTATCCCGCTGTATTCAGCGTTGATGCGGCCTCATCTTGAATGCTGTGTGCAGTTCTGGGCCCCACAATTTAAGAAGGTTGTGAAGGTCCTTGAGTGCATCCAGAGGAGAGCAACAAAGCTGGTGGAAGGGCTGGAAGGCATGTGCTCTGAGGAGCGGCTAAGGACTTTGGGCTTGTCTAGTTTGGAGAAAAGGAGGCTGAAGGGTGACCTCATTGCTCTCTACAGCTTCCTGAGGAGGGGAAGTAGAGAGGGATGTGCTGATCTCTTCTCCCTGGGATCCAGTGGTAGGACATATGGGAATGGCTCAAAGCTGCGCTGGGGGAGGTTTGGACTGGACATTAGGAAGCATTTCTTTACCAAGAGGGTGGTCAACCACTGGCACAGGCTTCCTAGAGAGGTAGTCGATGCCGCATGCCTGTCAGTGTTTAAGAGGCATTTGGACAATGAGCTTGACAACATGCATTAACTTTTGGTCGGCCCTGAGTTGGTCAGGCAGTTGGACTAGATGATCATTGTAGGTCCCTTCCAACTGAAATATGCTATGCTATGCTATGCTATGCTATGCTATGCTATGCTATGCTATGCTATGCTATGCTATTCTATTCTATCTTAAATAAGCTTTGAATACATTTGTTATACAAATAAGAGAAGGGTGAGTAGAGAAAATAAACATGGATAGTAATAGCTGCTGTGTTGGCCCAAATGGATGTTGTCTTAGCTGAATGTTATGTTACAGTGTGCTGTAGTAGATTTATAGGTAGCTCTCAGTTTTAATAATTCAGCATTTAGTATTTACTAAGACACAGTGAACTTCTCTTGTGACCCTGACTACCATGAAATGCATCATCTTACCAATGCACATCTTGAAGTTTCACTGTGGTGTGTTTCACCTTTCTTCAGATCTCTTTTGAAAACAAGCTAGTGCCTAGACAGCCTTCAGCCATGGCAGCACACTTGTATTTTCTTTGTGTACCAAAAAAACTTCACAGCAATGAGATATATCCCTTGCACTCAGAATTACCAAATGCTTTAGGAGACAATAGGCTTTAGTTCACAGTGCTTTGTAAAGAAGGTTAAAGAGAAGGAAGAGTCTCTGACTCTTTAGGCAGAAGAGAGAGAGCTTCAAATGGACTGAGGTATTATACCCTTCCGTCATTAAGTTGGGAAGAGACAAACAAAGAGCTGTAAGGGAAACTGCTGGGTCGGGGAGATTCTATCTGGGGAAGCAGTGCAAGTGTTTTAAGCTGTGTTCAACTGTTTTTCTTCCAACAGACTTTGGGAACTATCACTGCAGTGCCCATTAAGGTTCCTCAGGTCAGCTCCTTGCAGAGGTTGGCAGGACAAGGACCAGCAGTGCTACCTCAGGTACAAAATACAGTTCCAAAGCGGGGTTTGTGTCATTTTATATGTATTCTACTCTGTTCCTGTCTGGTGCCCAGGCCTGGGTAGGTCAGCACAATCATTTTGCTGAAGAAAGACTCACCTTCAGTGAGTTGAACAGCAGAGTTGTGATTTTCTCCAATTCATGAAAAAAAAATTATCAGTTTTCTTCTGGGAGCATACTGTTAGCACAATGAAAAGTTATAAAAAATCTTGTAGATTCATTGTGGAAGAACAAAGTACATACGGTGAAATGTAAATTTATGCTTTATAAGATGAATCACAAATCACAGAAGTGAAAATCTGCAATTCTATAATTAAAAAAAGTGGTGGAAGTATTAACCTTTCTGTTCAAGATTTAGCCTCAGACATTCTTTTACTAACTTACTTGCCTTATCCCTGTCTATCCCAGTATAAAGTTTTGGCCCAACTAACCCAGGTGCCAAACTGAGGCAAGATTGGCTGGGTAGGAGTGAAAGGAGATTTACACCCACAGATTTTTTAAAATCTTTTCAAATTGTGTTTCCTTTTCTGAATACCCATCATTATTTCCCTAACCGTACACTTTATTCCTGATTTCAACCCTCTTTCTCAAAATCTTTGGATGTCATTTTCAACAAGTGTTTTATTGCAGTTCTATGGTTTGCTTTTCGGATTCATGATTATTAAGTATGAATATATTTCTCCCTGTGTGGCCCTTAGAGGTCTATTTCTCATATGTGAACACTTTTCTAGCATTGAAGTCAATGTTGGATCTTCCTATTGTTCCTTTATTTTTTCCTAATATTTTCTTAGTGGCAGAATCTAGTAGAAGATCTGTGAGCTAAATCTGCCTGGAGGAAGGAGTATTTCCAAGATAAAGTTCTTAAATGCTCTCTTTAAATTGCATTTTGTGGAAGGCAAAGTTGTGAACATAAAGGAAGGTTATAGTTTTCTTATCAAGTTCAAGACTTTGCTTTTCAGTTGTTCTTACAGCATAATAACACATTGATTTCTACCATTTTGTGGTGTCAAAGATGAGCAGATTGCTCCTGAAAATAGATGAGGTTCAAGAGCAGCTGAAAGACCTGTAACAGGGGCTTAAATTATCATTAAGGTTATGTTTCAGCAATGATGATGGCATTGCAAATGCTGCACTTAGAGATACATCAATGTTCTTTACTTTTGTTAAGTAGAAAAATTTTCATTCAGTGTTAGGTTCAATTTTGAAGGATTGGAAAAAGTGGAGGAAGCTGATTTCCTCAACTTTTTGAAAAGAACACATATCCTTTCTGTCTTGCTGTTTAGCTCATGGCAATATTTTTGTTTGTATTTTGCTTTGTTTCACTCCTTTCCTAGCATAGCTTTCAATTTCAGACCTGTTTATGCAATCATACTTAATACTAATGAAAGACCAACCCTTCCTCAACAGCCGTAAGTCATAGTTCACTAAATTTTCTATTTCCTATAGATAGCATGGGAAATAACCACGTAGCAATCTCATTTCTGTCAAAACTAAAAATGAAGTAGGCAGCTGTATGTAAGACCACATTATCAGAGGTACGTCTTATGTTCTGAGGTTTTTCTGGCTTTTTCACAGGCCAATACCTCCTTCTTCAGCAGCAGCCTGCCCCATTTACAGGCTGTGTCCTCCTTTGCAGTTCATCATGGTCTATATATTCCTCTCCCTCTCAAAGCTTATGGAGAAGTTTAAAATTTCCATATTGTTTCCTAGTGGGGAGCTCCCTCCACCTGTCAAAGCTTTGTGCTTGATGTCTTAAGAGAGGTGAAGTTTTCATCTGCAAGTGGGAAGTCTGGCTGCTAACTAAATAGTCAAATGCCTTCAAAATATATTTAGTATAGCCATAAATCAGAGTGATGTAAAGCTGTCATTCCCCAGATACAGCTGGATACAGGTGATCTGGGAGGCCACTGTAAGTGAGCTGCAGCACTGTATCACTGTGAAAGCTCTCCTTTGTAATAGCTGCAGGTGAGTGCATAGTCATCCCTGGCAAATTTTGAAGGTCGACAGGAATCTGTGGTCCACGAGAACCAGAAACTTCAGATGGAAATATAAAAATGCCAAGAAGCAACGCCATGTAGTACCACGAAGGTATTATGGTAAAGAACATCTCTTCCCTCTTCTCCCTCATAGCTCTGAGAAAACAAGCGCCAAATTAAAAACAATTTTGGAAATTAAGGGGTGTATAGTATCTTCCAGTAGGAGCTGGAAAATGTGCAGAATTAAATCCTGTCACAGTCCATGTCCTCTCAGCTGTTATGCATCAGAGTTGGTTCCAGAGCAGGCTGGCTGCTAACCTCCTTTTGTCCCCCCTGGGTGACAGGCAGGGCTCCTGTACCTTGCTCTGAGTTAGTGGCACAATCCTACCATTTTAGGACTGACTTTGTGAGAGGCCACTTTGCCACTGTCTCCCAAGCATACTAACAAGCAGGGTCCAATTGAGTTTGGCATCTGCTAAAACCTTTGTTTTGGGTGCCCGTGTAGCACCAAATTAAAGGGACAGCTTTTTCAAAACAAAACAATATTCATCACTCCTCTACCAAGAAGTCCATAGTATTTCACGCAAAGAATTAAAGCAGTACTATGTACTCATGCATGTTAGCTATAGCTGAATCTTGTTCTGCAAGGTATTGCACCTTCCCCGACCTCCATCTCTGTGAAGTCTAGCTTTAACAGTGAATTGTGTAGAGCGCTAATAGCAATGAAACCATAGCAGCAAAGGCTTCAATAAGCCCACCTGCATGCCTGCCTGTTTACTCAAGCAGCTAAGTCTAGGTGCAGTTTGTGCAAGTGCAGTGGCAGGCACAGTGGTAATCACCTAAGATGACTTAATGTTGCCTGTGTGTGCTGCTGCCTCTCTTCTTGTTTATGGAGGGGCGGAAGGCCTGGATGGATCCCTTTTGGAATCCCTGCCATGTTAGGAGCCTACTTGTCTCCGAGTTGCTGTCTGGAAGCGGGTTCACTCATAGCCAGACAGATTGCACTTCTGGTTCAGGTGCATGTAGATAACTGGGATTAATCCAAGTCAGTGTCTGCATTCTTCACAGCACACCGATTGCTACCTGACATTTCTCCTTTTGGTCAGTCTTATAATTTCTTTGGAATTTCAGACTCCCTTTAGATTTTAGATGGAGGCATGAGAGGCATAAACATTGCCAGGCTGGCTGGAAAGAAACAGGGGACTCCTCCATTTAAGGGCCCCTCATCACATCTAAAGGAGTTTTATATTTTTGATGCTTTCACTCTCCTCATGTAGACAGCCTCTTTTGATTTACCTCTATGCAGTCAAGCAGCAAAATACCACACAAGTAAACTGAGGCACTTAACAATATTTACGTAAATTAATACATACAGCTTTCTCATTTTCCACATTTGTACAAATACTTGCCATTTGTTTTGTTCATTTGAATGGGTTTATGATATGATCCCCTGGGAGCTCTTCCATATGGGGAATGAAGTTTCAAAATCTGCACATTCACAAATGGCAGCAAAATCCCATCACTTAGTGCAGAACTGCTATTAAATGGTGAGCAAACAAACATTAATTACAAGTTCATTGCATAATACAAACAATATTTCTTTAGGCATTCATTATTTGCCAAAACAAGCCTCTTTGGCAGACCTTTTTTTTTTTCTTTTTTTAATTTTTTTTTTTACAGAATATGAAGTTATTTTTGCTTTCATCAAATAAATAAAATTTCTGCTATGAGCTGAGGTGTTTGGGAAGTTAGTTCCAGATAGTCTTTCTCTTCTTTGGCCTTTGAGGTTTCCAGCTGGGTGAGATGTTTTGAAACTGCAGACTCTCCACTGCACTCTGGGAAGCAAATCCTGGAGGTCCTTTACTCAGACCCATGGGTGATGCACTCTCTTACTCTTGAGCTGTTCCTCTGCTTTATGGCACCCATCGACTGTAAGGAGGTGGTGGCCTTATCTCAGGTTGGGGCTCCAGTTTCCAGCTGCTGTGCAGACAGTCTGTCTATTTTGAACTGGTTTACAAAAAAATTTAAGTCACGCTGTAGCCACCTGAAGGTGTGTGGGAGATCTTATTTTCTGTTCTTTGAATGGAAGATTTTAAATGAAACAGTGAAGATATTAAAATAAACCTCCGATTTTGTTGTCAGTAATTTGGGTGCAAACCAATTCTCGTTCAAATTAATGAAGAGACTGTGATGATTTGAATAGCAGTTAAATCAGATTATAATGCTATTTCCCTGACCTATTTTTCCAGTCCTGGTTGAAGGCAGGGCTTGGGATGGCTTTGCTCATGACACTGCTGATTAGAGTAGAGCAGAGAGTTGCATAGCAGACGCCTGCGGTGGAGCTATCACGCAGGTTAGTGGTAAAAAGAAACAGGTACGCACAACCGCTTTAGATGAAATGTGCGTGTTTTTCAATCGACTCTAGCCAGTTCTGCCGTCAAGTGCTGCTTGTTTTTTATCTTCTGTAGTGATTTTAATATGCATAATTCAGTAGGGTCTGAATTTGGTCACTGGGCTGCAGGTTGCTTTGGGACAGGGGCTGCTCTGTTACCATGTGTTTGTTCACCACTAGGTACTGTGTGAGCCCAGCCAGAGACTGTGGTCTCTAGACATTCCCAAAACTTAAAGGCACGTTCTCATTTTTAAAATTTCTTGTCATAGTTCTCATGAGTGCGGTTCCACTGGTAGCTGCTGCTTCTCTTCACATGTGTACCAAAACCAACCACTCCTGGCTTCCCTGGTGACAGGGCTTCTGGAAGATTTCTTGAAAGGAAAATTACTCCTATAGACAGGACCCAAGTTGTGTAATGCCACTGTGTACTGTAGGAGGAATGTGTTAACAGGCTGGGCTGTGGCAAAGCCTCTCTCTGTTTGCATCATAAGTCTAAAAAAGAAAAAAAAATCATTATTTTTAAGTGTAATGTGTTAAGACTGTGCATAGCCATTAGAAAGTGGAAAAATGCTAAATGCAAGTCAGCCTTTTGTGAAACTAGAAAAGAAGCTAG